TTTTGTCAACGTTTGTGTTTTAATATGGTTAAAAAAAACTTGGTTCCCAGATAAAAATTACTCCAATGTAATACCCTTTACCATGTTTTATAAGAGTTTTTAGCTGAATACAACTTAGTTTGAATGTATTTTCTTTTTTTAGATGTACACAACAACAACAAAATTACCAACCTTAATTATTAAAAAAAGTGGCCAAGGAAACCGCCTTTTTAATTATCATTCTTCTCAACGAATTGTGGATATATATCGGCATGCACTGTGGATGCGATACTCCCTGGTGTTGATTAACGTCCGCACGAGTGAGTACTACGACTATCCGCAGTACTATCCTGATAATTAGAACAATTCGTATATACCAAGGCTAAAATGTGGTTCGGATTCCACTATAAACTGTAGGTCCCTTAGTAGCCATTAGCTGCTATTAATTAGCTTTAATTAATTAATTAATATATTAATTAATATTAATTAATTAGCTGTGTCTAAGGAATGTCGGCCTTAGTCACTTACAAGACTACAAAAACGCGCCACTCATCCTACACTCATCTCCATTCATACTTGGCTTAAAATATCTACTTTGTATGGTTGCCATTTAATAAGAAAGTATTAAAGAAAAGTGTTAAACGCTGGGCTATGCGCTTTAAAATTACACCTCAGTCGTATTAAAGTTTGCAGATTATTTTCTAATTTAACAGCTTGCTATGAATAATTTCTATCGTATTCCGTCTGAGAAATCCCCAAAGATAATGCAAATAAAATAAACTGAACATAATTTCAGAACCCAATTATCCAAACTGTATGGAAAACACGTATTGCTATCATAAAGCTAATCTCAAATGAGAAAAACGAAGTTCACTATATTGGAAAATGCTTTATCAGCTAGTTTAGAATTAAAAGACTGTTTGGTGTAATGAGTTTTCTGAATTATGACATCGATACTGTCGCTGCAACATCATTTATCCCCACATTGCGTGCTAATGCACTCTATGAATCAACTGTTGATGTTACTGAAAAGGTCACTTTACTGCTAATTAGTAAAACATACCTCGAGCGGTATTTAAAAACCTTTCATTTCACCGATATGAGTGAATAGTTTTATTTATGTTTTAGAGGTTAAGTGGTAGAGGATTTGTAGGTCCTAACTAACTTCTCCTCTTAAATAAATATGTTTTTCATTTCAAAAAGCTTTCCCCGAAATGACATTTTTCATATTGTGTTACACAATTCCCCTTTTGAAATATTTTAATTTTGGATTTTTAAAATCAAGTACAGCCTAAAAGATGAACTTACCTATTTCTCTATTGGTTGAAATGGTACACCAATTGCCAACGGGCGAAAACGTTTTTCAACATATTTTGCAAACGTTATAAATTTATAGAGTTCACAGGAAAATAATTGTATTTTAAGAGAAATCCAAGTCTAACACATAAAGTAGGTTATACTTAGGTCAGAAAATATATTTGCCACCCAGTTATGAAGATTCAGGAGTGGAAACCCTTAGGGAAATTAGTTTCCACGTGTCATTTAAAAGTCAGACTGGTTGAATCTTTAAAGCAATCTTTTCGTGCGTTACTTAAGAGGGATGTGTTTGAAACGTCTAAAAACTGTTTGAAAATTAACAAAGTCGTCGATTGGTAGGGGGTTTTTGTCTTTATTTTTTAAATAGGGAGCCACTGCACAAAGCGTAGATTTTAATATGAAAATTAATTTGAATGTGGAATAAAAACTTTTAGTCAAAAGAGTCAAAGTGTATTGAAATGTTAATCAACTTGAGGTAGCAGTGGTTTTGATGATGTCATCATCTCAAGATGGTGGTGATCTTGATGACGTCATCGCGTCAAGGTGGTGTTGATCTTTATGACGTCATCACCTCAAGGTGGCGTTGATCTTGATGACATCATCACCTTAAGGTAGCGGTGATCTTTATGACGTCATCGCCTCAAGGTAGCGGTGATCTTGATGACGTCATCGCCTCAAGGTAGCGGTGATCTTGATGACGTTATCACCTCAAGGTGGCGTTAATCTTGATGACGTCGTAATCACCTCAAGGTGGCGGTGATCTTGATGACGCCATCGTCACTCAATGTCGTCTGCACAGTGGCCGGGTCCACTCCAGGGGGGAGAGTGTGCGTCAGGTGTGACACCTGTGTAACATAAAATATTTGATTTCTCGTTACACATATAATAAATTAGAATAACAAAGTAGGTGGTTAAAAAAGACAACCAATTAAAATCCATAGGATAGTGTGTTGATTTTATTGTTATATATTTGGAGGTCCATATGCAATACCAACCAAATGCAAGGTTATTATGCAAGGAACTCACACTTTTTGATTCTCTTTGATCACTACTTTAATTCCTTGCAAATTTACCTTGGGCTTTTCCAAGAAGAGGGATACCTATTTTAACATGTATCCTATGCAAGTTAAGTTAGGTTAGTTTAGGTATTTTTTACTATGCCTCACCTTCACATCCTAACTAGGTTTTAGCTCGGAACTGTTTTACCCCTTACTTCTGGCTAGTCCAGAGGGTGACGGCATTATAGCATAGATATAATCCATTGGTCATTGGTGGGATTTGAACCCGGGACATATATATATATTTGATGCGGGACATATAGCCCCATGCTCTATACAAGACCAACTCACTCCCCAGGTTAGTTTGGGTTAGAATAGATTATGTTAGGTAATTTTACATAGTCTTCATTTGCACGTGAGAGCTCCCTCTTCTTGAATAAAAAAACGTTTCTTACATGTCCATTGCCCCACTTGACCGTGATGTAGATGTCTCCACGAGGACCGACGCTAGTATCGTACGTCACTACGCCAGACAGTTCCTCCATGTCCTCGGTATACTCGTAGATGGTGGGGGTGACCCAGCGGCGGCGGGGGCCCCGGGGTGGACCGTCGTCCTCTGGAGGAGTCCACCAGCTCTGCCGTCGTGACGGGACTCGCCCCAGTGGCACCGGGAGTAGTGGAAGTTGGGGTGGTGGAGTGTGGGTTACGGGGAGAAGACGACGATTTAGAATACCTGTAAAATGATGTAGCTTTCAAACAATATAAACCTTGTTGTTCCAAATCTAGCACAATAGGTAAGATCAATATTAATTGTAGTGAAATACTTTTAGAAGGTAAATTTTTTCTGGTACAAAATGTAGATGAGAATAGTTAGTTGAAAATGTCAATCCATTTAACTTGCTTGTCCCAAAACTATTTTCTGTGACCGACAAATTTCAGTTATGTCTTAACATTAAACATAGTTGTTTCTCAAAGACCTTTGAGTATTTGGTGAATATTAAAGCCTACGGACATAGACTTAAGCCATAGTAAAATCACAAACGTAAACCACACAAATTTCTATTATTAAAGTTATATAAGTAACTTGGGTTGGAATGAAATGTTAACAAATAATATATTGAGCAAACAATATAAGTAAATGCAAAATAAAATCGCGGTTACAGCTATAATGTAAACCTCATCAAAGCGACATGTTTAACCTTTAAACAAACACTAGTCAATAAATAAACTTAGATTAAACCCGTGTCTCTATGTGAAGTATTACTACTTCGACATATTTTTAAAGCAAATGCGAACCGTTTTAAACCCTTTTCTTTTCATACAAGAGTTTGAACAGAGTTAATTACTATAGGTTAAAAGTACCGAGACTTAAAAACATAACCTCATTTTCTACACTCCTAACATCCTTTGTTTCTGAACAAATAATTATCAAAATCAAATATTACCTATAACAATTACTTACGTAAAACCTTTGATCGAGCTGCCAAAGACATTTTAGAATTTTTAACTTGTGCTTGTAATAAAATAATTTTGTTTCTTGTCCTGAGAAGGAGGGATTTGTGTTTACATTTTGTGTCCGTAATGTTTTCGACACTGTCAGATTGTAGATCAACCAGGTATAAACAGCTGTTGGCTCCCAGCCAACAAAAGTCGTCGTTTGCTCTTCGTCCGACAAATCCGTCACCTAATCGGGATTTATATCCGTCCACTTCTGACATTCGGAGATGGCGTTAATTTGATTTCAACCCCTTTCAACTTCCTGTCAGTTGTAATTCTAAAATTTTAAATTTTCGTTCTAGTTTGATAATTTGATAAAGAGTTTTAAGTGTCGACGAAGTGTTTTTTTTCCCACTTTTTAGGATAAATGTGTAAATTAGTGCATTGTTGTTTGGTTTTGAAACCAGAGGAGAAAACCTGTGGTTTGTAATTAGATCTTCTATTAGGTTGAAGTAGTTTTGAAATAAGAAGAAACAAACATCTACGAGGAGGGAGCTAAGATTTAAATTGACAGCTGATCCATTAGGGTGATAAAACCTATAATGTCATGGCCTCATCTAATACAGATTTTAAGGAGTATTACAGGAGGCTGTGAAGAGGCAGTATGTTTTATATATGATTTGAAATATCTTGGTATTGTAATTGTGTGAACAAAAGTGACACAACCGAACAGAATGGACCTTACTTACGTCATCACAACATGCGCATGTCCCTACGATATTTAAAGAGAAGTAAGGAACAGAGGAAATTTATAGGACGACCATGCGCTTTCAGCTCTAAGACAAAAAGAATAAAATACATACTGTCAGCCGTGCAGTGGTTACCATAGGTTCTGGCGCACACAGCTGGGAGCGCCGTGTAGTTACGTAGCGCATATGTCGCAACTACATGGCTCTCCCAGCGGTGTGCGCCAGAAGCTACGGTACCACAGCTCAGCTGACGGTCTATATATAATTCTTTTTGCCTATGGTTATACATACTTGGTGAGCAAGGGAAAGCCTGAACTATCGCACAAGGCACAGGGCCTTTCTCTACCGTGAGCGTTGTAGTACATAAGAGAGGGTGTTGGGCCCAAGACACCACCGACTAGTGCTAGACACCACAGTGCACCATTGTATACCTCCTCTGTATCTTACTGTGGGATCTTCCAGATATACCTTTAAGGAAGTAAAATACAACCAAAAATTACACAATAAAACTAAACCCAAGTTTTGTTCTCGACACATTTATTTCCCCATTACACCACGTCTTTCAGCTTGGCGGTCACCACAAGTTGTCCATTTTCAATTTTCGATTCAACACTCAGGTTGTCCACTTCGGAAGGCATCTTGTGTCTCAGATCGAACTGGTGGGTCCAACTGTCTCGTCCTGACTTCTGCTCTATCTTGCCTTGGACCACGATCTCGTCGTTTACCACCTGCGGGAATGGAAGACTTGCCTATTTACCACATTAACATTTTGGTTAGTTGAAAATTTGAATGCATTTAATCACACACAGCCTTTCTTAAATGTCCGTTTAACTTGAGATGGCCCATACCTGTCACAATATAGGGTGTTTTTTTTTAAAAACTTGCATCTTTATTAATGTAAAAACCGCAATAGATAGAAATATGCAGTTTGCGGGAATCATCTATTGACGTAGGGGGTGCAATTTTTTTGAATTCAACGTTACATTCACATTCCCCCCCTTTCCCCCCTGCAAACAACTTAATTGTTTTAATAGCAAGGTACCCCTTGTGACATATCAAATGAAAGAGCATGAAAAAAGAAAATGTTTGATGAAAAAACATTGAAAATCGGTTCATAAATTTTTGAGATATTCCCCCCCTCCCTCCCCCAAACTTATTTTTTTTTTAATAGCAAGGTACCCCTTATGACATATCAAATGAAAGAGCATGAAAAAAGAAAATGTTTGGTGAAATTTATTTTTAATTTGATATGTCACAAGGGGTACCTTGCTATTAACAAAAAAAGTTATGGGTAGGGGAAAGGAGGGGATGATAATCTCACAAATTCATGAGCCGATTTTCAATTTTTTTCACCAAACATTTTCTTTTTTCATGCTCTTTCATTTTATATGTCACGAGGGGTACCTTGCTATTAAAAAAATTAAGTTGGGGGCAGGGGGGGAAGGTGGAGGGAATGTGAATGTAACGTTGAATTAAAAAAATTGCACCCCCTACGTCAATAGATGATTCCCGCAAACTGCATATTTCTATCTATTGCGGTTTTTACATAAATAAAGATGCAAGTTTAAAAAAAACACCCTGTATATTAACTGTGTGGTTTTTTCCCCATAGTATTGTTATCTTGACTGTAAACATTAAAACATTGACTACACACTTAATTCAAGGCTTCCAATAGTTTAAACTCGTTCATTTCCCCATGTAACTATATATCGATCGAAAGAGACTGTGGGTCTCCACTCATGCTTACCTGGACGTCCACCTTATCCAGTGGGAAGGGGTCCAAGTTCAGGCGGTATGTGTAAGTTCCGGAAGGTGGTATCGAACCGGATCTTGCAGAAATGCTACGACCGATTACTTCGGAGAGACGTTCCAGAGAGGTTCCCCCAACTGCAGCGCCGCGTAGGCCTTCTGTACACAAACACAATATTGATTATAGTCTGTGTTGTGGAACCTGTCTGTTGACCCGTCTTGGGGACTGACCGACCAATCTTCAAGGATCTAGGGGTACTCACAGTATACAGTACGTGCTTGATATCCTGGCCCTACTAAAGGACAATTCAAGGGTTCACATTAGGAGAGAGGAGGTGCATGAGTACTAGGATGGCCCAAAGTATCGACTTTCCCCCCGCTGCCATCTCAGTTGTACATTGATTTGCTATCCTCGTTCAGCTATTAAACTCTTTAATACTCTGCCTACCCGGATTCGGGAGATGCACCCTCCTTCAAGAAGATGCTGAAAGGGATATTAGTAAATAGGCCGCTGTACTCCCTAAAGAACTTGGGGATGAACCACTCGTAAGATAGTGTCCAACATACCAACCGTTAAACGGCAATTTTAAAGTAGCCTATGGTTTTTGTAAATATTGTATATAGTTTTATTTATTTCTTATAAATTATGACGCAATCTTTCAGACTAGATCAGGCAAAGATGGAGAATTCAAGTATACAAGTAAGTAAGTATACAAGTATTGTTAAAAGCCCGGGCCAGTCCCAGGAAGACGATGGTTCAGGAGATAAGTTCCATCACACAGACTATATCCTAAGACTTTGTATCACATCGAGGGTTAAGGGCTTACCTTATTTCTTTAAATTGCGTTTGGTTGATTTATTTGCAAATATCAAACGTCAATGACACTTTAAGCTGTAATCTTTTTACGGTTTATGTTTAAACTTTACCAAGTGAGTAGTATATAGTGTGTGTTTATAGATTTAGTAGTATAATAATAGTTTTGATAGTTGTGCGGTTAGTTATGATTGTTTATTCAATTGTATCCATTTGACTCTTCGATTTTCAGTTCAAATTATTTCTTTGATTTATCAAAGCATATTCCCTTCCTAGGAAATCTAGATTCGGTTCAAGACGAAATGCAATCGTGTCATTTGGTTTTTACAAACCCTATTTGGCCTGATGATTGGAGTGTTCATTTTTCCAATTTCAATTTATCACCACCACCATTTATATGTTTCTCGTCTTGTTAAAACAGTATAAGTTTAAATATATCTTTCCAGCATTATTATACGTATTCATATGTACTTTTCGTAAAATTAACAACACGTAAGCTGATTAAGAACTTATTAAATTCTTTACCTCTAAATACATTTTCCCACTAAATTCTCCTGCGAGTTATTTTATAGAGTGTAGAATCGCCTAGAGACGACAAACAGTACGAAGGTAGACAGTATAATAAATCGCGTCCTTGTGAACTACATTACTCCAGAGTGTTGTGTGCGTCGACACGTTCTTACTACTCTGGCTAGAAATCTCACCTGGCGATTGCAGATTGAATTGATCATACGCTTTGCATTTGATTGTATTATACAGGGTGAGTTTTAAATGAGTTCCCCCCCTACTTTTTTCTACATTTCTTAAGATATCAACTCCGGACTACGTCAGATCATTGTAGAGTAGTAAGTACTTCATTTTGACTGGGTATACATTTTTGGCCGCCATCTTGGATCCGCCATATTGGATCTTTATCTAGCACTATTTTGCGATTATGTTCTTAGTTTCTAAATGCACAATGTTAAAATGGGCTAAAAATAATGTTATAAAAAGTTCTCATAACTTTAGAATGGGTCAAGATTTTTTTAAACGGATTGCAGCATCGTATTCAGCATAAAAAAGTAGCTTAAAACAATGGGTCACAACCCTACCTTTACATTTGAAAAAAAAATGTTGTATCCAATATGGCGGATCCAATATGGCGGCCAAAAATGTATACCCAGTCAAAATGAAGTACTTACTACTCTACAATGATCTGACGTAGTCCGGAGTTTATATCTTAAGAAATGTAGAAAAAAGTAGGGGGGAACTCATTTAAAACTTGCCCTGTATGTTATTGCATTATCTTCTATTTCTGGAAATGCAATTTACCTACCAGATTCAAATAATTTAAGATGAAACAATACACAAATCGTTTGATAGGATTTGGTATCCAAGTGGGAGTTTTCGAAGGTAAAGAAATGTGTCCGTGATTGAGTGGATTTATTTCTAGACAGTAAGGGTATTTTTACGTGGTACGGTTGGTATCGCCAACCGGATTACGGCGTAACAAATAACTGAACTCGGGGCCTCCCAGATAGCGGTCTTTTACAGCGGTATTTTTAGTAGCTGGTTCCAGAAACCGAGTAGTCTTTGATTTGTTTTAAAACAACATAATGTCTCCATCGTAGGATAAACTATCCACAGTACTAACATTATCAGAAGATAATTACCAATAGTAACCAAATTAGACGATTTTCGAGCAGTAACTATCCTTTAATTACAGTAAATTATTCCTTATGTTATTCCTTACAAACAGAAATTGCATCAGAAGTATATTTTGCTCGAGATTCAACTCAAATTTGCTAAATGAGTTGATGAAAAGTATCTTAATGGGGATGAAAGAACAAATATTATTCTCTCAATTGTAGTATTACAATGACACTTAGTGAAATTATTAATTTGCCTCAAAGCTTCACGTGGAATGAACTTAAGAAATATTTTATTGTAGTATTAAAATCTTATGTGATATAATAGGCCTTATAAAAAAAAAAATAAAACCTCCTTTGAGTAGACAATATTATCATGAATATTCCATGTGTCCTCACTAGGAAAGACGAATGCAGAGACAAATAGCTAATAATTGTGCAATTTGTAAAAAAAAACCTAAACAATTCTTTAAGAAGAATTATAAAGCTAAACCATTATAAGATAATTTCCAACTCTTCAATTCTGTCACTTTATGAATCCTAAGAGTTTAGTTTCGTCGGAACTAGAGACCCCATATTTCACATAGCTTCCTTGGCAGATTGAAGACGCGCCTGTATTCAGCGTGATGCAATATAGGTACTGCTATCTAATTGCGTTGAGAAAATTGCAGGCTCCACAGTTTGGGTTACTGTTTGATAAGGTGTAAAACAGCAATTTGATACACAGGCTGTCTAAAGGGAAACCACTCAATGGGGATGAAATTACAGGGGGAAAGTATATTCCTTCAGTTTTTTAGTATTTCCTTTTTCATTTGATTGTTTTGGAGCTTTGATTCAGATTATAAACCACATTTAGGATTCCCTCTCGTAAATCCAATTTCTGCAGACAAACTTAATAAACTTATTATTTCAAGATATATTTAGGGTAATAATTTTCCACTTCCTCCATTGGTCCATCTGTGTACTAGGCTCGCCCACATTAATTGGCCAAATTCTTCATTTGTAGGGTTATTCCCATTGATTAATCATTATAAAAGTCATTGTTAAAATGAAAATACGTAAATTTCTTTCTGATATCGTATATTAAAGTAAGGCTTGAAATGTTCTTTAAAAAGTAAAAGGTGAAACTTATCAAATTGCCAGTGTCTTTAAAGCCTAACGTTTATCTAACATATAAAACCCCGATAAACAAATTATACTACAATTGGTAAATACAAAACTTACTGAATATGTTTGAAGATAGTGTCGAGAGCATTTTTACTTTACAAATTAAGTTAACTAAAATTTTGAACACTTGACATAAATCTTTAACCTAGAATTGTTTTGGTTTCCGATCAGATGTTTCAACGTTTTAAGATCATAGAGTAACGCCATGTGTAAAAAACAGGCGACGACAGTGGTGAAGGAAAAAGAAAATTAATTCCCCCCCTTGCAACATTTGGTAGATAAATTCCTTAAACTGGGGCAATCGATAGAAATATCGCATACAACTGATTTACTGTGTACGTGAGCTAGTTTGGTTTCAGTTCGTTTCATTATTCTTTTGTGAAGTACTATGTTTGCGATAAACATTTTATACCATTCACATCCATATTTATAGCCTCTGAACTCGTGGGATGATGTAACATTTTATTGTTCAGTATTTTAAAACTGTAGTTGAGCTGTGATGAATTGTTCCAGTGATTTGGTCCTACACCTCAACAATTTTAGATGTAAGAGCAGAGTATATTTCACATTATAAATACCTGAGCTGAAATATGTTTACAGGAATTCCGAGTCAACATTATGTTTCCTAATTAAGGGTTTCCATCATATATTCAGGGGGGAGCGAGCTGGTCTAGTGGCTAGAGCGCGGGACTCCGGTTCCTGGGGTCCCGGGTTCAAACCCCGCAAAATCACCAATGGATTTTATCTAAGTAATATTGCCGTAACCCCTAGTTCTAGCCTGAAGCAATGTGAAAAACAATCCCAGGCTCGTGCCTAGCGTCCTAGGACAAAAAATCATATTTTCAGGGGAATATTGCATTCGGCTTATTCCAAAAGTAAGTTCAACTTGTAGTGTTAAAGTAAATAGAACTGTAGGCGTTTAAAACACTTTTAAAATTTCATTTTTAATGGTGATTTTCCATGAGGAATAATCAGATTTTACCATAACGGTCCGAACGATTTTGATTAAAATTTAGTATGTCATGGTCCGTGTTAGTCTAATATAAATTAACCTACAAAGCTGTAAAAGTTTCCGTTCTAAAGTTATTGCAGTTTTTGCAATTTTTCCCAATAAATTATAAAAGTTACTCCCTTACTCACCCATTTTAAACGTTATTGACAAGCTAAAGGGAGAAAGTATGTGTCGGTTTACTGAAACCGTTTATTTTACTATTTGTAGCATAAAACCTATAAATTAATGTAAAATATTTCAAAGCACGTTTAGGTCTGCTTTGTTTTAATTGTAAATAAATTAGGAAATTGTTGTAGTTTGTAGCTTACTGTGTGTTTTTTCTCCAGCACAATCTTAATATTGGATTCCTAGCTCGGCTATTATCAAGAAATATTTGCAAAAGCTCAAGTATTTTTAAAACTACTTTTCACTACTATTTTATTGGAAACCGAAACCTACATTATACCACATTATATTCCCTACATAATATTCCCTACATATATTCCCTACATATATTCCCTACATATATTCCCTACATTATACTCCCTACATAATATTCCCTACATTATATTCCCTACATAATATTCCCTACATAATATCCCCTACATAATATTCCCTACATAATATTCCCTACATAATATTCCCTACATATGTTCCCTACATAATATTCCCTACATAATATTCCCTACATAATATCCCCTACATTATATTCCCTACATAATATTCCCTACATAATATTCCCTACATAATATTCACTACATAATATTCCCTACATATATTCCCTACATAATATTCCCTACATATATTCCCTACATATATTCCCTACATTATATTCCCTACATAATATTCCCTACATAATATTCCCTACATAATATTCCCTACATATGTTCCCTACATAATATTCCCTACATAATATCCCCTACATTATATTCCCTACATAATATTCCCTACATAATATTCCCTACATAATATTCACTACATAATATTCCCTACATTATATTGCCTACATTATATTGCCTACATTATATTCCATGCAATACAATAGCAGCCTCTATATTGCATCTCACTAAATACAGGCGCATCTTGAATGATAAAGCAGGTAATGAAATATGGGTTTCAGGTTTGTCGTTTCTGTATTACAAACTCAATACGCACTTATAAAAATACAAGCGAAAAATTCAACTGTTTACGTATTTTTCTACTAATCACAAGTTTGTTATTAATTTCATAGTATATAATAATGTGACATTTTTTACACAAATCCGGTTGTTAGGTGTCTCTTTGCTTTGAATCATAAGAATATGCAACTCTAATACCAGAACAACAATTAATAAATTATTGATTAACTGAAGTATCTACAATCCTTCTCCTTAGCCTACTCGCCAACGCTGTTATATCTGTAATTACCTTGTACGCAAAGAGTCAAAATAGTAGATAATTTTAATCTGGTATCAAGTTAGCTAAATGTATCACCAGGTCCAAAAATACCGAATTGTTCTTCCCTCAATGTACAAATCCTTAATGTTATTACAACCTCATATTCATATTAACCGACTGCATGGTATAAGGATTATGTGCCTAAAAATGAATTACTCTTGGTTGAAAACCAGTCAACAAGAAAAATTGGATGTACCACAGGTAAAAATTAACCTTAAAAATGTTCTATTTTTTTACTTTTTTTCTAATGCTTAACACTATGCTTAAATTTAAAATCCCACGTTGGAAACCGTTTAAATATATTCAAGATTTTTAGTTTCAATAGTTAAATTCAATTATTTAAGACAACGAAACACAATTTTATGCGTAATTCGAACTGAATATGATTATGGTGCCAGAATATAGTAAAATCTGTGTAGCTTGGGAAGTAAGATATTACTTCTCTATGTTTACTGACTTCTCAGATCAGCTGTTTCTCAGTAATGAAAATGTATTTGCCCAATGTTATGGGACAGCTGGGTCCATTAAAAAGCTACTGAGTTTTCTCAAGAACAAACTGGCGACCGTTTAATTACTTTGCGAGTATTACAACCCAGCTATTTATACAGTGTTCAACAGTGAAGCCTGGTTTACACTGGTAGAGTTGTGGGTAGAGTAGAGTTTCTAGTAGAGTAACTCTACCCGTGTAAACACCCACTAGCGCCTAGTAGCTAGTATAGTAGATAGTAGGTAGTAGAGTAGAGTTACTAGCAACATGTGGCATAGTAGCTCTACTCTACTTCCCCCACCACTAGCAAAATTGTCACTCTCCTGCACACTATACTTGTGTAAATGTGATCCGCGGCAGTAGAGTAGAGTTTCTGGTAGAGTGACACTGTATTGTAACTGGTTTATAACACTCATTTTGGGAATGAAGGTGGAAAAAACAGTTCACAAACTATCATCAACACTCTAGTCGCTTGCTTAAAATCGGTAGAGTGGACAAGAAAGTAGCTCTACTATAAACTCTACACTACCAACAACTCTACCCGTGTAAACCAGGCTTGAGATATGTCATTAGAGGAGACATACGGTTTCTGTTGTGAAATCGAATGCAACATTCACCAAAGGTAATTACCAGACTCTAATGTGTTAGCAGAAATCCCTTCTCCAGGGATTACAATCTGCTTCAGTGAAATCCTCTCAATAAATACTTCTTCGCCTCTCTCTAAATCCAGGCTCGCCAAACTAATTCTCCTAATGTTTATGTTTTATATTGAAATCGTGTGCATCGTAACCATGAAGCGAATACAAAAAATAGGTTTTTAGAAGGTGGTAAGAACGTAGTACTTAAATTTTGAGTTGTTCTCTTCGTGTTAGTGATTTCAAATTTGTTTAATCCTCCCTATCTATAAACACGTTACCAGTGTCTATTGTTAATTTGATGAATCTATATTAGACTAATGTAAAATTTTCAACCTAAGTATTTTTAATGCAGATTCCAAGTGAGTCGTGTTACCTAATAGTTCTTCTCGTGGCCCATCATAACTGGGGAGCAAATATAAAAATGCTGCAAAAAAAAATTGAGTTAGTAGAGGGACCGTAATACATCAATATTGAGTTATTTTCTTTCTTCGTGTTATTTCAAAAGTTTTGAATCCTCCCTATCTATAACAACATGGTTAGGTTCTATAACTAATTATATGACTTTATATTGGACTAATAAAACCAATATTTCAACCTAAGTAATTTTCAATACAGATTCCAAATGGGTGGCGTGCCTAGTAATTTTTTCTCTTTTGAAAGGCATGCTTGTTTTAATTTCATTGCAAGGCAGCTATTTACAGTTAACTGCAAACTCCCAGAACAGGGACAATTCCCTAAAACTTAACAAATTCCTGATCCTTAACGAAATTTGAGATTTTCATTACGATTGTTCCTCGACCGTCTTCTTGAACTCTGCAGCATATCCCGGGATCTTGTGGGAATCCTCAGGGAATTCAAATTCCCTTCCATTCAAACCATATTTTGAAATCTATTTTTTTTTTTTTTTTTTTTTTAAAGAGGTTGGTGGCCCCTCAGCATATCCCTCCTCATTCCTCTCAGCATATCCCATACAAGAGGCTCTCCACTGCAATCCCCATCCTGGTCCCATGGAAAATCCAGTGACTCCTAATACAGTTTACCTTTTCCTAGCACTTTCTCATAATTCTTAGTGGTGCTTCTCTTGACAGTTTCTACAGTTTTGTCCTCTGTTTCAGATCAAATGCGCGGGTGAGAGAGAGCGCGGAGGATGGGGCGGGGACAGAGCCCTATGGAGTTCGGTTAGGCCCGACCCCTGGCCAGCCCCGAACCGCCATGGAGCCCGCCGACCGCGCTCATCGGCCTCTTGCATTTGACAAGGTCAGTACAGCTACATACAACTATCTCTACTACCTAAGATTTGGCTACATTGCATCGTTTTCTATCATTCTATTTGTATATGTATTTTAAATTTAAAACTATATTGTTTTTTTAGAGAGAATTTAATAAACTATCCACATGTGGTAATAACCTGTTTAGTATCTCAGTAGAATGGAGAAAAAGTTTCATATGACAGTGTAATACTAATGGATCAACCAAAGTTGCAAACCACTGCAATCGGGGATCGTTTGGAGATTAATGAATCCCAATTAGTTTGTCCTCAGAGGCGCAAAGAACTTCACTCATTCATCAATTTGTCCCCTACAATCCTACAATCCTACTTGAGTACGTCTGTGTCGAGAGCTCGACAGATTAGCAATATTTAATGCAAACGTTAATGTTACGATTGGAAATGGAATAATTTCACAAAACGACAAGACCATTTCATTGTAAAGCTTATTCTAATTCATTTACATATGTTAAATTCGTTTCCTCACTGCTTGGTGGAAACATCTCTGGATATGTTTCTCTTCGTTTATGGAGATTTAGTGAACATGTGTTAAACATTTTCGAAACTTTAGAATTTAGCTGTTTATAGTGTAAATTATGTATGCTCAAGATATACCTTGAAATAAAGCATGCATCCATACTGAAGCAGGAGACTGGACATTGAGGTGTTGTTATTGATAGCCCTTATCACTGTATAATGTCCACACCAATGGCATTGACATGAAGTACAAATCTATAATGGAGCTGGAGGTTAGACAATGGAGGTATTGTTATTGATAGCCCTTATCACCGTATAATGTCCACACCAGTGGCATTGACATGAAGTACAAATCTATAATGGAGCTGGAGGTTAGACAATGGAGGTATTGTTATTGATAGCCCTTATCACTGTATAATGTCCACACCAGTGGCATTGACATGAAGTACAAATCTATAATGGAGCTGGAGGTTAGACAATGGAGGTATTGTTATTGATAGCCCTTATCACTGTATAATGTCCACACCAATGGCATTGACATGAAGTACAATTCTATAATGGAGCTGGAGGTTAGACAATGGAGGTATTGTTATTGATAGCCCTTATCACTGTATAATGTCCACACCAATGTCATTGACATGAAGTACGAATCAATAATGGAGCTGGAGGTTAGACAATGGAGGTATTGTTATTGATAGCCCTTATCACCGTATAATGTCCACACCAATGACCTTGACATGAAGTACAAATCTATAATGGAGCTGGAGGTTAGAAAATGGAGGTATTGTTATTGATAGCCCTTATCACTGTACAATGTCCATACCAATGTCGTTGACATGAAGTACGAATCAATAATGGAGCTGGAGGTTAGACAATGGAGGTATTGTTATTGATAGCCCTTATCACTGTATAATGTCCACACCAATGGCATTGACATGAAGTACAAATCTATAATGGAGCTGGAGGTTAGACAATGGAGGTATTGTTATTGATAGTCCTTATCACTGTATAATGTCCACACCAATGGCCTTGACATGAAGTACAAATCCATGATGGAGCTGGAGGTTAGACAATGGAGGTATTGTTATTGATAGTCCTTATCACTGTATAATGTCCACACCAATGGCATTGACATGAAGTACAAATCTATAATGGAGCTGGAGGTTAGACAATGGAGGTATTGTTATTGATAGCCCTTATCACTGTATAATGTCCACACCAATGGCCTTGACATGAAGTACAAATCTATAATGGAGCTGGAGGTTAGACAATGGATGTATTGTTATTGATAGCCCTTATCACTGTATAATGTCCACACCAATGGCCTTGACATGAAGTACAAATCTATAATGGAGCTGGAGGCTAGACAATGGATGTATTGTTATTGATAGCCCTTATCACTGTATAATGTCCACACCAATGGCCTTGACATGAAGTACAAATCTATAATGGAGCTGGAGGCTAGACAATGGATGTATTGTTATTGATAGCCCTTATCACTGTATAATGTCCACACCAATGGCCTTGACATGAAGTACAAATCTATAATGGAGCTGGAGGCTAGACAATGGATGTATTGTTATTGATAGCCCTTATCACTGTATAATGTCCACACCAATGGCCTTGACATGAAGTACAAATCTATAATGGAGCTGGAGGTTAGACAATGGATGTATTGTTATTGATAGCCCTTATCACTGTATAATGTCCACACCAATGGCCTTGACATGAAGTACAAATCTATAATGGAGCTGGAGGCTAGACAATGGATGTATTGTTATTGATAGCCCTTATCACTGTATAATGTCCACACCAATGGCCTTGACATGAAGTACAAATCCATGATGGAGCTGGAGGTTAGACAATGGAGGTATTGTTATTGATAGCCCTTATCACTGTATAATGTCCACACCAATGGCCTTGACATGAAGTACAAATCCATGATGGAGCTGGAGGTTAGACAATGGAGGTATTGTTATTGATAGCCCTTATCACTGTATAATGTCCACACCAATGGCCTTGACATGAAGTACAAATCCATGATGGAGCTGGAGGTTAGACAATGGAGGTATTGTTATTGATAGTCCTTATCACTGTATAATGTCCACACCAATGGCCTTGACATGAAGTACAAATCCATGATGGAGCTGGAGGTTAGACAATGGAGGTATTGTTATTGATAGTCCTTATCACTGTATAATGTCCACACCAATGGCATTGACATGAAGTACAAATCTATAATGGAGCTGGAGGTTAGACAATGGAGGTATTGTTATTGATAGTCCTTATCACTGTATAATGTCCACACCAATGGCCTTGACATGAAGTACAAATCCATGATGGAGCTGGAGGTTAGACAATGGAGGTATTGTTATTGATAGTCCTTATCACTGTATAATGTCCACACCAATGGCATTGACATGAAGTACAAATCTATAATGGAGCTGGAGGTTAGACAATGGAGGTATTGTTATTGATAGCCCTTATCACTGTATAATGTCCACACCAATGGCATTGACATGAAGTACAAATCTATAATGGAGCTGGAGGTTAGACAATGGAGGTATTGTTATTGATAGTCCTTATCACTGTATAATGTCCACACCAATGGCCTTGACATGAAGTACAAATCCATGATGGAGCTGGAGGTTAGACAATGGAGGTATTGTTATTGATAGTCCTTATCACTGTATAATGTCCACACCAATGGCCTTGACATGAAGTACAAATCCATGATGGAGCTGGAGGTTAGACAATGGAGGTATTGTTATTGATAGTCCTTATCACTGTATAATGTCCACACCAATGGCCTTGACATGAAGTACAAATCTATAATGGAGCTGGAGGCTAGACAATGGATGTATTGTTATTGATAGCCCTTATCACTGTATAATGTCCACACCAATGGCCTTGACATGAAGTACAAATCCATGATGGAGCTGGAGGTTAGACAATGGAGGTATTGTTATTGATAGTCCTTATCACTGTATAATGTCCACACCAATGGCATTGACATGAAGTACAAATCCATGATGAATAGACAATGGATTTATACCAAGATATCGCTTATCATTGTATGCTGTCCACACCAAAGACCTAGAAATTAAATGTAGATTTTTAACGGGACTGTAAGATTTCTATTTAATATTTTTTCACTAAAACTATTATTTCTGTATTAATTTAACACTAGTTAAACAGTACCTACATTTATTTAAAACCCCTGTTTTAAATTGATAATAGCCCACTAGTCACTACTTATTCACTAATTAATTATTCCGGCTGTTATTGACAACAGCTGATTGTAAATTGCATTCCGTTGTTTGTATTGTAAATAACACTCCTGTCAAATACAAACATTAACACTCATTTCTATTGTGTTCCTATTTAATATATTTTACCTAACCCGCCATGTTAAACTTCCCTATCCCAAGCGTGATGTATACAACTTCTTTACTTGATTCTTTACGTGATGTAAAGTTGAAAAAAAACTCACTCAGTGAGGTAATGAAACCCATTTAAAAAACATTGAGTGCTTTACTTAAAAATTATACCTCTATGGAGCCAACTACGTTCAACGCTAGAAATCAGCTGTTCGCTTGAATTTTATTGTTATTTTTTTGAGAATTTTCCTAACCTAACTTTTGTTTGTAAATGAACGTTACTGTTAGAGGATGAGTGAAATGGATCATGAAAAATATTGTTCGTAACCTTCTATATTGTCGGGTCAGGTAAAATCTTGTACGTCACGCGTTACGCAAGAGCGTGTTTACATCACTTAGGTAAATTATGCAACTCGCTTCCGCTCGTTGCACAACATTCACCTGCGTGATGTAAAAACGCTCTTACTACACTTGTAAGGTAAATAGCTATTACAGTTAAACCAAAAGGGAGTTCTACCTGTATGGGAAATGTTTGCTTAAAAACTCACGTTGATAATTTTATTTTATGTCCTAAAATATATCACAAAAATGTAAGAATTTTTACTAATATTGAACTACACACACTTGTATAAATGTACACAACTACTGTGGTAAAAATACTTAACAAACTTCCCAATTTAGGAGGTTTTAGGGGGAAGAAATCTATCCCCTCCACTTAATCCTACTATAAACAATTTCGCAACAGCTGGTGTTTGCCATAACGTAGCTGCAACATATACATTAGGAAAAAAAGTAGTGGGGGAACTTTCCCTTAAAATGCTAAAATCTTTTGAACGGACTACAGTAATTTATACAAACAATTTGTTCCTATCACTTAGTGACCAAATCTATCTCTAACGTTCTTGTTCGTTTCAAAGTGTTCCATAGTGAAAATAAACTGTTCTCAAAACGTTATATACCTATTTAAAGCATTCAAACTAAAACACATATCATTCCAATGCAACGGTCGCTATTCTACGTGATATATGGGGGAATGGGCACAAAACAAAGGCCTGACTGCCAATACAACTCTAGCGCAACTGTAAATGGGAAAAGTTTCAGTATTGCATGTCCTTGATTGTCAATGATCTCGA